TTAGAGGTGAAATGAATATATCCGTGATTGGTGATTGGGTTGGTGTAGCTCCTATGACGGACAAAATTAGAGAAAGTAATCTTAGTTGGTTTGGTCACATTAAACGTGGACCATCTGATGATCCGATTAGGAGAGTACGATTAGGAGAGTTGACGTGTGTTAAGAAAGGCAGAGGTAGACCTAGGAAGACTTGGGCTTATTGTATAAAAAATGATCTTAATTTACTAGAACTAAATGAAAATATGACACTAAATAGGACACAATGGAGAAAAAGGATTCATGTAGCCGACCCCACATAGTGGGATTAAGGCTTTGCTATTGTTGTTGTTGTTGTTTGGAGAAATAACACCCTTATGGCAATAGACATCTGGTTTATTATCAAATGTCAGAAAGTTTTAATTTATGAAGATGATTTTACCTTTGATCTAAGCTTTAGAAATGAAGATGTGCAAATCTTAATACGAAAAATAAAAGAAAAAGGGAAAATTCATTGTCAATCAATGGCAGAGACTAGCTCGATGAAATGCATAAATTTAAATGCAAAAAGAAGTTTAGGTGTCACTTTAGAGAAGTTTGCTGAAGAATTCAATAGGTTCTTTGCTATAGGAATTCTGTTCATTGCATTCATCAGCATTACCAGGCATGAGTATAGTTTTCCTCAACACAGATAAGAAAACTAGAAAAAATTATGTAGGAATATATTGATACATTTTGTATCACGCATCACTAATTCCACGTATTACATGTTCCCAATAAAACCAATCTATTAAACAATTCATCCAAATTATTTGATAAGTACAGCTAAACTATTCAATAATCAAAACTATAATCATAATAGAAAAAATATAACAAGAATATTTAAATTTTTAGCTGTATTCAGTGGTGAAATTAGAGGATGGTTGAGGGAGCCACCTTCAAATTTTTATTAAACTCTTTAATATCATATAATACAAAAAATTTTTGCCCCTTAAACTTAAATACTTAATAATAATTTCATATAAACTATATTTTTTACTTCATAATAATATTTATAATTGTTTGAAGTCATGGAAATAAAAACTTTAACCTTAAATATTCGTTAAACCTTAATTATCAATTTGGCCAGCCCAATTATTTAATATTACATCGAAAATATCTCTTTTACTAATTTTAATAAAGTGAAATACAACTTGTCCTGCATAGGTTTATGATACCAAAATATTATATAAGTAAATATCAAAAAGCATGTTCAATCTGTAAATAAATACAAATTGTAAATTAAAAATAAACTTTTTTTGTTAGAAATAAACATGTTTTGAATAATTAAACTTGTTGAAAAGCTAATATATTAAAAAGTTAATTTTAGGTGAGAAATGTAATGCATGTTGAAATATAAACTTGATTTTAGTTATTTAAATAAAGCTTAATTTCTATAAGCTTATTCTAGAATATGTGGTAGGTATGAAATTATTGTGTAGTAGGTGTGGTAGTAGGTGTGGTAGGTGTTGAATTATTGTATGGTGGGTGTGGAATTATTTGCAACCATTGGATTGTAATTGTGGTGGCACAATCCTAGCCATTAATTTAGGAGGTGTTACTAGTATAAATAGGGGTGGAGTCTTTGAGTTTGTATTAAGCCAAGTAAAGGTGTTAAATAAGAGTGAAGCTTCTTCCATAAGTTGTTTTTTTTTTAGCCTTTGTCATTTCCTAAAAGCTTCTCCATTCCAACAAAGTAGTATCAGAGTGAGGTTCCATTACAGAGAAATGAAAAACGGTGGCATGGTTTCGTTCCAAGTCCCGATGCTTAAGGAAAGCATCTACGACAATTGGAGTATCAATATGAAGGCACTCCTTGGAGCGCATGACGTTTGGGAGATTGTGGAGAAAGGCTATGATGAGCCAAGTGATGAGTCTGTTTTAACCACC